TTGAAAATATAAATTTACATCTACCATTCTTTTCTTTTATTTCCTTGTTGAATTAAATTAGTTAATAAGGAAGATAAAACTGTATTGTGTTAGAATAGTAATATTAGTTAATAAAGTAAGAAGTGACTTATGTACTATTTGACTTCACAACAAACAATATAAAAGTCTTAGTTTTATCCAGTTTTAACATTAAGTAATATGTTTCATTCAAGAAAAAGGGAAAAGAACTTCTTCATTCGGGTGGATGGTTCATTTCATTTGAATTGGTTTAAATAATGTATCCAATTTAAATTTTATGTTTCTATTTCAATTAATCTTCATCAACAATAGATTATTTTGTGAATTCTTTCAGAATAAGGTCATAGAAATAAAAGATTTATTTCTTATCTAGCATAAAATCTAATATGAAATGACCTCATCGTTAATAGATTAAAATTTTTCTCAATTATTTTTTTATTAAGATATTTACCACTGGATAATTATCACTATCGAAAGAGGGGTGGGAGTAGGGGGTAGAAACATTTTCTGATGAAAAATTAATGTCACTTAATAGAGAGGTTTAAATAGATTTGGTGATGTAATCTATCAGGGACATTTTATTCCAGTATAGGGGTTGTGGAGATTATTCCCTCACGAGGAAATTCTCGGAGTGGAGCTAATCCATGTCGGGTAGAGACAGGTATCTACCTCAGTAAAATAGAAGATGGTCGCGCGATTTCGTGGATTGGTTGATGTTAGACACTATCACCATTGGATGCCAACTCAGTAGTCCAGTAGGTTAAGCGTTCGCACGCGAGACCGAAGGCCCTAGATTTGAATACCGTGAGCGGGATCGTGGATGCGCACTGCTGAGAAGTCCCACAATAGGACGAAATGACCGCTCAATGCTTCCAGGTTTCCAAAAGTGGTTTGACACCAGTCGGTTCATGATCTCAATCAAAAACATTTTATTCTATTAAGTATCAGTCAGTTGAATATGCCATCATATCGTATTACTAATATTCATGTTGAAACTTGTATCCAATATCTTAGGTTAAATATGAAAATCATATATTAAACATATCATTTGCATATCTTCTTTGAATTGTCATCTACATACCTCATTATTCCTTTAATTCTATCATAATTTTGATTGCCCTTTGATTTCTTTTATATTCTCTTCACTTCAATATTCTACTTTAATCTATTCCATTTTCGATTACCACTGCATACTACTTATATCTGTTAGCATAAATAGTATGCACCACAGAAGTGCAGAATATAAACAATGAGGAATCAAAATCTTTTTGCTATTACTGTAAATATATCTTAACTCAATGTTACTCCTCGTGGAGCAGCATAGGCCACCCGCCAACACTCTTCATCCATCCCTGTCCTGGACAATCCTTTCCAGCTCTTTCCAGTTGTTATTCATCCTTTTCATACCTGATTCTATTTCCCGACGTAATGTATTGTTTGGCCCTCCTCTTTTCCATTTCCCTTCAGGATTCCAAGTTAAGGCTTGCCTCATGATACAGTTTGATTATTTACATAACATATGTTTAATCCATTTCCATCGTCTTTTTCTAATTTCCTCCTCAGATGGAAGCTAGTTTGTTCTCTCCTAGAGAAGGCTGTTACTGATGGTATCCGGCCAATGAATGTTGAGTATCTTGCGTGAGAGTATCCTGGAACAAGTGATTAGTAAGTTCTTAATGTCTTACAGAGTTACCTCTAATCCGGCAGTACCAGGAGGAAAGTCGCCGGCCGAGTATATGTTCGGAAGGAAAATCCGGACAGTCTTTAACAGTATGTTGCCTCCCAGAAAGACGAATAAACCCACGAATGAATATCGTACGGTCACTCGTAGCTTCCAAGTGGGTGAAAGGGTACTTGTCAGATCGTATCAAGGTAATAGGAAATGGGAACCAGGTGTCATAGAACGTCGAATCGGAAATGTACCATCATGGTGATAGTTGATCTTAACTCAATAGTTTACTGTTAAATATGTGAATATTTTAGTTGATCAACTAATAAAAATACAAAACAGATTGTTTCTATAGTTGATATTTGTTATATTTTATAACCATTAATATTTATTTTTCTATCCATTAGTGATTATTTACAGTATTTTGTAAATTCTATTAATTACATAGGTGATTTATTAAAATGAATATTTGTAATATGGGCGTATAATTGAAATAGGTGAAATATTATACAATGAATTATATGTATCTATAATCCCCCCTTTTTGGGGGGTATAACTATGAAATACTTAATGTATGATATTTTCATTTTATCCTATTTATAAGCTTTGATTAAATCTATTGATTGATAAATTACTGTTAATTAATTATACAACTATCATTAGAAAGGGGTTTTGTAGAGATTGTAGTAATTTAATCATTGAATTCACGAGTCAATTAATGCTGGACCATCATGGGAAACCTAGTATGGGATTTCACAGCATTGTGCATCAACCAGGTCTGTTGTGAGATAGTAACTCATTGAAGACAATGGTAGACGGTGGAGCAGTTTTGTGTATTGGTTAAAGTTAGACATTAACACCATTGGATGACGGTCGAATCAGTAATCTAGAGGTTCAGCGTTCGCACGCGAGATTGATAGATCCTGGGTTAGGATCTCGCGAAGAGGGATCGTGGATGTTCATTGCTGACGAGTCCCATACTAGGATGGAACGGCCATCCAGGTTTTCCATGGTGTTCTAACTTCAATTGACTCATGAATTTAACTATTAAATTATACAATTATCGTTCAGTTTTGTAGCACAAATGGATTAGTTATTGCATAAATTTTAACCTTCTATTTGTGGTACGTTGAGATCGTGTAACTGATGCATAGAATAGTGTATTTTTAGTTAAAATAATAATATTAAGATAATAAGAAATAAATTTGTTGACTGTTTTATCGTTCCAATTGATCATTAAGGATAGAAGTTGAGTGGACAAATCGGTGTTAAGATCTCAAGTTGCTGATGGAAGTTACTTGTGACATCGGTCGAATCAAAAGTCGTTCGTTGGTTTGATTGGCGTAATGTAGATTATTCATTAATAGACTATGTAATTTAGTGATCTAATTTAGTTGATATTTATGAGAATTTTAATGTCTGATTACAATCGACAATTGTGGATTAACTTGGAGATATTGATTTGACTTAAATCGTGCAATTTTATTCACTAACTAAATTTGGTATAGTATTATGATTACAACAAAATGCTAACGTTTTGAGCTCAATCATGCGTTAAATCATGAGATATCTAGTTTTCATTAGTTCTCTAATATTCATAGTTTAAAACATGAAATGTTCTTAGTTAGACTACCATTGATAACATTGAAGCACTGGATAATCGTTTCGTCCTCGTACGAACTACTCACAAGTACACATTCACTACTCTCATCCAGGAAGCAAAGCAAAGACCTTCGGTTTCACTCATAAATTATTGACCTCCAGACTACTGAGCTGGCATTTAACAGTGTCACTATCGGACTTTAATCAATTTACGAACTTAAGCAATTATCATCTGTTTTATGTTTCACATCTGAGAAGGTTGAACTCTATTGGTCATGGCTTTTCACTAGAACTTCAAGAGTTACATTACAAGGTAAGTCACCAGTGAGAACATGATTTTTATTATTATTATTATCAGTTTACAGAGATTTACTCAGATTCTAGGATTTTTCCAGTTTAATCATCTAATTACTGTATAGCAGCTCATATGCAATTGAGTTTGTTCACATTTAATTTAGTTAAACCCTTTTGTTAACTAATTTAACGGACAGAGTCATCAGTACAATAACACCTTATCTATATCACTGTACCTTTATTATTGTTACACTTCTCTAAATATGTATGCTTGAACATTGCTTACCGCCTAAGCATATATTCACTCTGCTAGCTACATTTTAATCATTTTTATTGTCTTACTGATTCGCTATCATACTCGCTCATTCAACTTACATACTCATTCGTTTGCCTGTTAGCTTTTCAGCATTACTCTTTCATGCAGATTAGGATATCTGTGTATGGTACAATAATAAAAACGTAATGAACACTTCTTATTCACCATTGAAGCGTTATCTATTAACTATTATCAAGATGAATTGTATACGAAATTTAAGGACTATAATAAATAACAACCATCATACGTATTATTTCAACAATTTAAAAACAAAAACGATCTACTTTCTTTATACGAATATTCGTCAAGATTAGAACGAATAGTTTGACAGTAATTGAGCGCCGAGTATAGAAAAGTCATTATATGTGAAAATTATATTTGAAATATTCTCAGCGATTGAAATTTATCTAATGCCAACGTTTTGTCCAGTTAACTTGTCTGGACTTCTTCAGGATAATAATCAAAATCAAATTTATCAAAAAAATATATAGCTTTTAACAATCAGGATTATACTTTATTCATTCTTATTCATATTTGGCATTCTCTATTGAATATTCCTTACTGATTTATTAATATAATATTAAACTGATATACTAGAAAGCATATATTAATTAATTTATGACATTCATTGATGTTTTTTTAATAAATATATATTCTCAAATCACACATAGTGATTAAATTCTACCAAAACAAGAAAAAAAGAAACGAAAAAAAGAAAGAAAAAAGAAAGCAAAAAAGGAAAGAAAAAAGAAAGGAAAAAAGGAAAGAAAAAAAGAAACAAAAAAGGGAAGAAAAATGAAATCAACAACGAAAAAAACACACAATGAAAATGAAAAGTTTAAGATTTTCACAACATAATTAAAATAATAAATGATTTGTAATAAATAACTAATTATAATTATATAAAACAAACATATAAAAATTATAATCAATAATTCAGTTAGTAACAACAACAACAACAACAACAACAACAACAACAATAGAATACATTTAACACAAACAAAAAACTATAATTTAAGATAAATTTATATATATTCATATAATAGAATGAAATATTATCAAGAATAATCTTTTATTTTTATTTTTATTTTTTTTTATTTTCGTTCAAATTTTGCTTATTCCCTTAAATGAATTAAAAATAGAAACAATCTGTAATTTAAGATAATCAGGTTGGATACTACTGATTGATTGATTGATTGATTGATTGAGTAGAAGCATTCTGATAATAATTATATATATAGAGAGAGAGTTGAATTATGATTGGTTGTTATTACATGTCTATCTTTGTGCATGAATACTGATTTGTCTATCAATCAATATATTCATATGAAGGGGGGCATATACATATGTATAGATATATGCACATAAATGTAATAATAATAATAATATCAGCCTAAAGGTAAAGAACAATAAAAGAAATAGATAAAAAAAATAATTTGGCAAGAATGCATTTTATAGGGATTTCGAAGATCACTTTATAATTAATACATTGAATTCAACTAGTGGTTTATGTCTCAATCCATTTCTTTTTAATGGAGTTTCATTCTCTGAGCTGGATGGTTTAGTCATGGAGCTTTCATCGTTCTTCTGAACGAAATCATCTATCTGAAGTTTATGCTGATGATGTCGTTCAGAAGAACGATGAAAACTCTACGACTAAACCATCCAGCTTAGGGAACAAAACTCCATCAAAATCATCCACCTCAGTTACAAATCTTCTTCACTAACTCAGAATCATATGAGAGTAGTATGCTTCTCATTATTTGAAAATGGGAGAATTTCGCCAAAAGGCAGGATTTCACACGAGAACAACTGTATTTTCTCGACGAGTGTCTTCATCAGCATGTTCTACTAACAAATGTAAGATACAGACCTCCAATCAACTACCCAATAAGACGGAGAATAACTGAACAATCCATTTCTTGTTTGTATTTTTTTAATGAAAAAAATATTTCGAAAAACGTCACTTTGTTCCAATCAGTGCATTGGTTTTCTTGTCAATGTTTTCCTAATTATTCATTAAACTCAATCTAAATAATGCATAGTTTTCTATTTAAAAATATCGCTTACATAATAACAAAAAACTCTCACAATCATGTGTGCATTTGCGACGAGCTTCAAGATGTAACTCATGGAGTTCTAGTGAGAAGTCGTGACTAGGTGAGTCTTATCTGTGTCAAATATAAGACAGATATCTACCTGAAGCAATCAATGAATCGTTGCGCAAGACCATGGATTGATTGAAGTTAAACACGAATAACGCTGTGCGCGATACCGAAGGTCCTGTGTTTGAGTTATACGTGAGGGATCGTAAGTTCGCACTGCTGACGAGTCTCATACTGGGACAAAATGTCCATCTAGTGTATGTATGTCTTCACTTGTGGCGTAACTTAGATTGGCTTATAATTATAATCGTGAAAATATCGGATTTGTAAACTAATTATGGTTAATAGCAGATGGGTTTTGTGGATATTATAGTAATTTCAATAGTTAAGATCATGAGTCAAATGAAGCTAAACCACTATGAAAAACCTAGAAGCACTGGATGGCCGTTTTGTCCCATTGTGGAACTCCTCAGCAGTGCACATTCGCGATCGCGCCTCACGAGATTCGAACCTAGGACCTATCGGTCTCGCGGGCGAATGTTTAACCAGTAGTTCACTGATTCGGCCAGCATCCAATAGTCTTAATGTCTAACTTTAACTAATCCAAGAAACTGAGTGACACAACAGACCCGGTTGACCTCCAATAGTCACCATTTCTCACTAAAACTCGAGGAAACACATCATTCAAATCTACCTAGATTTCTTCGCATCCAATTTCTAAAAAATAGCCGAAGCTTTTACTATCCATGAGCTCAAGCCAGAACTGTGAGTACAAGTGAAGTACGTCATATCGTTATCATTACCTTGGCCTTAATTTTTACTAATATTACTACATTTTCCCCTTTACTTATGTCTCGTATTTTCATTATTTATCCATAATTGCCTATATCACTTTACTTATTTTTCTTACATCTCTATGTCCTTTAATGACCTTTAATTATTGTAACAAAAACATTTTAATCACCTTCCTACATTCACATTATAATTCGTTACTAACTTATTAATTCTATTATTATTATTATCATTATTATTATTCGTATTACGTAATATAGTATTATAATCTTTCTATTATAACAGCTTGGTTATTCCTTGTTCACAGTTCCTCATGGAACTAGTACTTCAAAAAAAAAATTTCATATTTATATACGATTGTGCAGTTTGATAATGAATTCGTTGAGAAGAGATCCCTTCCGTGAACTTCGTGTTTTTAATTTCAATATTATCACAGATTGAAATCATGAGTCAATTGAAACTAGACCACCACTGAAAACCTGGAAGCACTGGACGGCCGTTTCGTCCTAGTGTGGGACTCCTCAGCAGTGCACATCCACGATCCCGCACCCCACGGGATTCGAACACAGGACCTACTGGTTTCGCGCGCGAGCACTTAACCATTAGACCACTGAACCGGCATCTAACTGTGCTAATGTCTAACTTCAACCAATCCACGAAGTTGCGCCACCATATACCATTGTCTTCAGTGAGCTGATATCTCGAATCCCGCGGGGTGCGGGATCGTGGATGCGCACTGCTGAGGAGTCCCACACTAGGACGAAACGGCCGTCCAGTGCTTCCAGGTTTTCAGTGGTGGTCTAGTTTCAATTGACTCATGATTTCAATCTGTTAAAATTTCTAATATCTCCACAAACCCCTTCTGATAATTTTTAATATTAGCCACAATTAACCTATTCGAAAAAAGTTTACATCTTTGTTGAAGCTAAGAACTAATATATCTGAATAGAGGAGTTATACAAAGAATTTTAACTGGACATATTTTGTTATTATTAATGAAGTGATATTCCTAACACCTTGTGACAGTTCAGTAACTGTACTAATGTGTAAATATTTTACACCAAGAAGACTATATCGAGGTAATCCGCACAGGATGCACATATGCAAACATGAGATTGATCAATTACAGTCTTAAATAACAATGGGAAGATACAAGTGAAACAACACCAAGTGAACTAAAAAGATTAGTTGTTCAGTAACTTTAAAGTGACGATATTTTAGTCATGTGACAGTTTAATAGAAATGTGAAACAATCAAATATTTTCTTTTATGTCTCAATAAAGTTTATTTACAACATACTAACTAAACATATCTTTTCCATCCATTATAAATCACTACTGATAGTCTAAAACATGATTATGAACGTGAAAATATTTTGAAGGACAAGGTTCATGAATGTTTTTTTCAGAGATTGTACAAACCTTGACGTTCGTTTTGTTCATTTACGACCGAATTATTGGATTCACTTTCGTTTGTCCAAGATCTAGAATGTTCCTGATGTGTATCTAATTAGAAAAAAAAATGCAAAAAAAAGAATAAATAAACCTCATTGAATTAAAGTAGAAGAAACACTAAACTATCATATTTACAGTGTATAGAACAATTCGGGTTTAGTAACTGCGGTATGTGTGTGTATACAATACTAGTAGAGATTAAATAGGGAAAAGCACTTAGACTATTGGGGCAGTTTTGAACCAATGACATTTACTCACAGAACTTTAGCTCCTATGGATGAGAAGGAGATTTTCATACGAGATAAATTGTTTCAATAGTACTTAAATTTCTAGGCTGTGTGGTTTAATGACAAAGCTTTCACTTTTATTCTAGACAATATTATCGGTGCCTATTTTCAAAAAGTACGGTAATAAAAGCCTTATTATCAAACCATTCATCTAAGGCAATATAACTCCATCATAAGACCACATGACGAACAATAAGAATTTCATTTGCAATATCGAATAATTTCAACTAAGATGCAGTCAAATTCACTTGGTATTGCTTGCTTGAATCTTTCCATTTAGGTTTAGGACTGTAATTGATCAGTCTCCTGTTGGCATATGTGTTTACTGTGCGTTTTTTCTCAATATTGCCTTAATTCACAAGTTTTGTAAGTAAAGATAGTGGTTAACAGTGGAATCCAGGACGCACGTTTCGTCCTATTTGGGACTCGTTAGCTGGATGTACCTGCATCTCAGAGTTGATGTTAATTGAATTTAAATCCACCCTATTGCACAAGCAAGTGGCTATTAGGACTCAGTAGCTAAGTGGATAACGTGATGGCGTTTGAAGCGAACGTTACTGGGTTCGATTTCCAGAGTGAACATCAACTCGGAGATGAAGGTGCATCCAACTGACGAGTCCTAAATAGGACGAAACACGCGTCCTGGATTAAACTGCTAGCCACTATCTATCTTTAATTATAAGATGCAGTTAGTTGTTAATTTATTGAAATACTCACTGAATAGCATGTGAAGCGCTGGTTAGATGTATCATCATACTTTTTTTTAAACACTGATTAATAAACAAGTTTATACAAACAGAAATCAGTTTGTAAGCTTAAAATATTTTCTTGAATTAACATTTATTCTTCTAACTACTCATAATTATGAAATTTAATTATAACACAGTTCGTGCAATCTACAATATCTTCTTGAGTTTTACTAATGTTAGGAAAGGTACTATAATTTCTACATATTTGAAATCATTCGAAATTTACAAGTCCAGAAAATATACACTATCACGGTTGAATGGATCACGAATGGATTGCGTGATTGTAGAACTTACCTTCATAAATTTGTAATTAATTAATCACTGGGTAGTATCTAGTACCATGTATGTTAAGTCCTTCTTAGCGCTGATTAAATTCTAGTGAACATGTTGCAATGTGGCCCAAGTCTGAGTAACTCGATAGCACATATATTATGTTGAGATATTAGATGGTCGACAGGAAATCCTGAATTTAGGTTTCATGCTATTTATCACTCGTCAGTAAATATTGTTAGACTAACATACAAACGTTAACAAACATAACTGACTTGCGAGTGTAATATACTTACAGCATACATAACCTACTGAGAACTAATAAACTTGAAATATTGTTTTTTCTCCATTTTATAACAGAGTTATCCATTAAAATTTAGTTGAAAGTGTATTATGGAGATTAACTTAATCTGCAGACTTTATTCGTCACAGACTGATATTAATTGTAGAAACATTTCAAGGATTATATATACTCTAGTGGAATGATCTTCTTCACTTCATTAATCCCAATTAATCTTTTATACAAGATTTATGTTTCTGACAACTCAAGGAGTAAAATAATTTGAATGATGGTTGTTAATACGAATGACAAATTTTGGAAGTTATATGTTTGGGAAATCATAATCTAATTGCAGCCTTTCATTTGACATATTAACTGTACTATTTTAAGAAAAAATGTAGTAGATGAATTATAATCAGAATGAGGGTTTGTGTAAATTGTAGTAACTTAATAGTTAAATTTAAGTTAGACCACTATAGAAAACCTGAAAGCACTGGTAAAAATCATGATGTGCCCACTAGTGACTGACTTCAAGATGTGTTTCATGAAGTTCTAATGAGTAACCGTATAGTCATATCATGTATTGGTTAAAGATAGATATTAACACTGTTGGATGCCGGTCAGTTCAGTAGTCTAGAGGTTAAGAGTCCACGCATGAGACCGAAGATCGTGGGTTCGAATCCCTTTGGTTCAGGACCGTGGATGAGCAATGCTGAAGAATCCCATGATAAGACGGAACGGCCGTTCAGTGCCTCCAGTTTTCTCAAAGTAGTTTAGCTTAAATTGACTCATGAATTCAACTATTAAATTAATTATAATTCTGTAATTTAGATTTGCACCATAAATGTCTTTATCAGTTGTGAATTCTTGATAATAAAGCCGTATATTTAAACTTCTTAGCTGCCTATTTTTAAATTTTGAGAATATTACAAAACAGTTTTTTATTTTAAATTTATTTTAACCGACCAATTATGTTAATTGATTAATGTACTGAAGCCGCCCTAACTTACGATGATAAAAGTACAGCATAAGGATAAGCCAATTAGAATCGAAAACATAACTTCCAGGCTATTGAGCGAAATTCAAAACCCAAGAAAACATCATTATGTAACACTTGAAGTACATTTAAAATGATAATAAGAATTACTTTATGACATCATGAAGTAAAATTGATGGTGTTAAACATATCATATGGTTGGTATTGTCCCTATAGATAGTATCTAACAGATTGTAGATTGTATCTAATACTGTTACTAAATCATAACTTCAAACTCATTATCTTACAACAAATTTAAATTCATTGAGGATATATTTTGTAGATGGATTAATCAAATGACACCTCTTGGATTTTTAAGCGAAATTCATCCATCCATATAGTTGTTGATCATTGCACACTATATCCGATGTCAATTCATGGAAGTCATGACCCAAAATATTTAACCTTTACCATGAATTGGTAACCCTGACTATAAAAAAGGACTCTTAGTAATCTATTTTCGTGATTATATAGGTCCGACGATACGAAAAATCTGCATCCTTATAGATGTAGGCATTGGTCTGAATTTATATGTTGTTGGTTTTTTAATATACATTCAGATTAATTTGTAGAGGAAGTGATTATGTAACATCTTGTTCAATTAATTATCTATTCAGAAATGCTGTCTTCTGATTGGTTAAGGGGTGGTCCAAAATTAGTTTCGATTGATTTAATCACATTTTACCTTAAGTATACTCTTGCTGCTATGACTAAGTGAATTACCACAAAATTCAAGCTGAACAACCCAGGTTATTTGTATATTTTCATTTTGTTCCGGTCTTCGAGAAATAAGAATTGAAATCGAACTCACACATCAAAAATTTATTAAGCTATGAAGGAAAATAGAATCTGAGTAAATCACTTATGGTTAAAAAAAGGATAAAGGAAAATCCGACCTAAGGTTTCTTTGTGGTGTTGCTAGATATTGGGGGCCACTTTGCCGGCCAACTTAGGTGGTTGCAGAGACCGGACTGATCACCCGCTCTGTTGTATCCGATCAATCCTGGACTCTTTATTCAGGGCTCATTTTACTGCTCAAGCTATCCAATGTGTTTCCTTGAGTGTGAGAGTTGCAGAAGTTTTCGGACCTATGTAGTTTAAGTATATAGGTATATGCAAAGGGTACGCATATGGTGTCGTACAAAGGAAACGTTGAGCTGAAAAATGTCTACCCTATGTTTAATAAAATTAGCAATCTATCTATTAGGTCGAAGACTAATAAAATAGAGGTGGTAGCAAACACTAGGGCGAGGCAACCAATAACCTTCCCTGAGAGATTATGTGTGTCATGAAATAGTGGGGTGATAGCCATGGTGTGAATGATATGCATATAATGTGTAAGAGTCATTCTGGTGTAGTAAGTACGTTTTCATTGATAGCGGTAAACATCCACACTCCCAGGTGGGTGAATATACTTATGTGTATGCTATGGGATGCATGGGGTAGAACCTGTGTCGCCAGTGTGCATGCAGCGTATATTTCCTCACAACGTATGTATAGCTTTATGTATGCCAAGTGATATTCGGATGAAAGTTTGTGTGTTATCTAGTATGCAAGTATATTATATACATCCAGGACAAGTAAATCATAAATCTCATTACTTGTTCTTTTGGTGCAATACCATTATGCATGCAAAGACTCGTCAGGCCACAGTCCCCACCAAAGTACATTTACATGGTGGGTTAGTAAGCCTCAGAATCCATTCTAGAAGGACCTCTAGATCTCCCCACTAGGTATCACCAACTATTCTCTGTCTAGAACACCGTACTAGTCAGTCACAGTTCAGAAATCAATGTGTATATGTAGATGTAAATAAAAAAAATGTATACAATACTAATTATTTGATGCTAAGAAACCATTCAACTAATCAAACATACTACTTATTGAATTTAGTAGTTGTTAATTATAATGAATATTATTAATAATAATAATGATCCTGTAAATTTTTGTATATAATCTTATGAATTTTTAAGTCAATACAAACATTGGGATAAGTAGGTTGTCGTTCTTTTTTATGTTCTAATTGAAGCTTAGATAAAAATAGTATAATTCTGTGTAGGCTAAGTAATTTTAACACTATAATAACTACTCTTTACACTTTGTACATATATATTCATTAGAATAATTTAATAATACCCGGTTTTATCAAATAAAGCAACGATTATTTAGTTGGTAGTAACCATGGTGAATAATAAGGTAGCAGTTGTTCATTTTTTAAATTGTTTTCGAATTTTTTATTGCCAATTTCATACAAATAAATTAAGATTATCATTATCTATTTAACTAATGATATTTCGATGGGATACATTTTTTCCCTACTCTAATTAAGTCAATAAACGAAAATCAACTTGTTATATAATTTGGAAGATAATATTCTGTTGTAGTGGCTGTGCTTCGATTATTAATCCCCCTCGTACTGTTGTCATATAATCTTCCACGGTGTTTTAAATCAGAAGGTTAAAAAGAAACAGGTACTACAGTTTTATTAGCAGATAATTCAGATCACAAAGCAGAGGTCAGCGAACTGCGAGTGTAGTAATAGCAGTAGCAGTGTATATAGTGTAAGAGTACATATATATTTAGGGAAATGGACGAATCATTGAATCGATTAAGCAACTAATAATAAAGCTAGCAGAATGAATATATGCGTAGGTGGTAAACAATGTTCAAGTATACATATTTCATACAAGTACAATAATAATAAAAGTACAATGAATTGTTATAGTATGGATGACTTTGTCCGTTAAATAAGTTAACAAAAGAGGTTAACTGAGTTAAATGAGAATAAACTCAATTGTACATAAGTCGCTATACTGCCATGTTGATTACATAATTCCTTTTTTTTAGTAAAGTTAATGGTATAAAACGAATGTATGAGAATTCTGACTATTTTGATTTCTCATAGTTTACATCATAAACTAATTCCCTTTTTTTTAGACAAGCAATCAACATTAAGAAGTACTAGAGAACTGTTATATACTAGTATAAGATTCCTTATCGGTATACATCAACAAGCTCAACAAGGATAGAGCATAAGACATTCATTCATTCATTTGGTATTGTTTGTTTGAATCTTTCTAGTGATGTTTAGGAGTGAATTTGATCAGTCTCTTATTAGCATATGTGTATCCTGTGTAGACTGTCATCGATATTGTCTTAATTCACAAGTATAGAAGTTAGCGATGGAATCCAGAATGCGTGTTTCGTCCTATTTTGGATGTGGATGTGCCTGTATCCTAGAGTAGATGTCCACGCCGGGAATCGAACCCGGTACCTTTTAACTTCAAATGTCATCACGTTATTCACTTAGATACTGAATCCTGAACATCAATGGGAATATTCAAACAAACAATACCAAAATGAATATAACTGGCGGCCTGCTTGAATACCTGGGCTACCTGTTCCTCCGATCTACATATTTCATCAAGTTATCTGTTTTGTTGTTTGTTTAAGTTCATCATTATGTTCATTAAGCACACAACCTATTCAGGCGCGTTTCTGAAAAGTTTACAACCTTTCGCTATACGTGATACAAAAAGGTGCAATCATCGACATCATGGTGGCTGGCAATATGCATTGAAACGAACGAACATTAATCAAATGTGGATTACCGAACTCCTAACATCTAACCGGTCATCATTCGAAATTTATCGTCACAATAGATCAAGGTATAAGAAAAGGAAACTTGTTAAAATACTTTATGCTGAGAATTCTATGTTGTACCAAAAATATAATGTTGAATAAAGCTTCTAATAATATAATAATATATAATATAATTGCATAAGCAAGTGGCTGTCGGGACTCATTAGTTAAGTGGATAACGTGATGACGTTTGAAGCGAACGGTACTGGCTTTGAGTTTTGGAGTGAACATGGAGTAAACATCAATTCTGAGATGCAAGTACATCCGGGTTTCGAGTGTGAGACAGTTACTCACTAATAGGATTGGAAGATGATCAGGAAATACCACAAGCTGGTTAAAGTTAGATGACGATTCAGTGTTAATTATGACACCTGAATGTCACAGCTTGGATTTCTGGCATTGGTCTCGTGGATATGCACTGGTCAGAAACATTTACTGAGATGACGCAATTATCCTTTTATTCCTGGTTTGCAATTGTTGCGTAGATAAGGTCAGTTTTTGATGCGAACTATAATGTTTAGACTTTGTATGATTTTATTTTAATATCAAAATGAATGATAAACAGAAGATTCAACACCGTATGAGCCAAGACATACCTAACGACTTTTTAAAATTGAAACGGTTAGTTGATGAGCTTAATCAAAAATGATTTTTAAACTAAAATGAGATGGTTGGAAGGATGCATGTGCATACAAAGTTGATTTCAAGTTGACTTATGTAGTATTGTGTACAAGAATTGTAAAGTGAATACAAAGTTTGTTGACTGTTCGGTGATTAGATGATAACGTTGAGTTGTTTGGGTCGTGACTGACCTCCCATACAAATAGGGTTTGCTGAATTCTTAGACATACAAGGATTTTAACTCAACACTATATTTTCGAGGTTCCTTATATTTACATTGATTTCATGAACTGACCATTGTTAGACCACCATTAAAAGTCTGGAAGCACCAGACAGCTGTCCTGCAGTGTTCACCCACGATCCCGCACGCGGGATTTGAACCCAGGATCTCCAGTATCTCCCAAATGCTGACATCTAGATCAGTGAGCCAACTGGCATCCAACGATGTTAATCTCCAACTTCAACCAATCTACGATATTGCTGATCATCTTCCACTGTCTTCGATGGGTAACTTTATCACACCCGACGAAGTTCAACTCCATTGGTCACGGTTCATGATCATTTTACGATTTCAATGAAATCCAACAATCTCCACAATCCTAAACTAGAAACTGTCATTTACTTACTAGTGACTACCTTTGAGAGGGAATTTTCGGAGTTCCCACTGTTGATGTTAGAGAGTAAAAATGACCAATCTCTGCTGACATTTATGTAGCTTGAATGAATTGCCCCAATGTTTAAAATCTAGTTACAAGTAACGATTCACTCAGGTCCCAATCATACTTATAGAGTCTGATTAAATCTATTCATTAAGATTAACAATAGAAATGTATGAGCTCTAAAAAATGAAATTCATACTCTTTAAACAAGTTGTTGACTTTCCAAGCTCAGTAGCTGGTGTTTAGATCGAAACAGAGCAGGCTTGAGCCACAGTATGAACATCAACCTGAAATACAGATACATCCAGCTGAAGAGTCCTAAATAGAACATGATGCATTTCCTGCTGTCGAATACTTGCCACTTCTGAACTTTAATAACTGTCATTACCCTACAATATGATATTGATGGAAGAAAGAGAGAAATGATAGTCTTTCAAGTAACACACTTTATCCATTTATTGATCGATTAATAATCTAATTTTTAGTTAAACAAATAAATTAGTATCAGAAGGGTTGTTTGGCAATTGTAGTAATTTCAATAGTTGAGATTATAAATCAATTGAAGCTAAACCACCATGGAAAACCTGAAAGCAATGGCCGGCCGTTTGGTCCTATCGTGGGACTCCTCAGCAGTGTACATCCACGATCCTGCCTCCTGGGATCATCTACTAGCAATGCCACCATTCCTATTACTACTAACTTCCTTCTCTTGTATGAATAAAAATGTAAACAAACAAGACAATAAACTAGATTATTATACATTTACCATCTGATTTTGCTTCATCTCGATGTTTATATTGTTCTGTATTAAATGTATCTAGATTACGTAATTTACGTAAATCTTTTGAATTGCCCGGTTGAATTGGTGTAGACCATTTTATAGTTTCTGGCATTTTTTTTACAATCATACTATTATCCGTTAGTTGAGTATTTTCATTCAACCAATCAATAGTTTGATCACGTTTTTTTAAAGGATTTCTATAATAAATTAGATTTGGCCAAATTGGATTTAAATATTCAATGTTTTCATCTGTAGGAGGCGAAGAAGACGAAGAAGAAGCCGATTCTTGTAGTTTATTAAGATCTTCATTCATATCAATAGGTAAATTAATTTTTGAATCTGAAAATACTTTACGCCTGAAATTAGGTGAATAGGATGGGTGTCTATTTAAATTAAATAAATACAAATATTGATTATCATCGTCATTAGCATTATCATCATTATACTCATCAATACGATCAATATCATCTTGATATTGTTGTTGTTGTTGTTGTTGTTGTGTTTCCTTTTCTAGGTCCCAGTGATGATTGTTCCATGCATGCCCTGAAAAATGGAAAAAACAAAACAAATAATAGAGACTTCTTTTTAAAAGTTCTTTTCATAGCATTTCATATGAAATAGTTATGTACTGAGTTTTCCACTCGCATTAGTTCTTTAGTTAGAACGGTAGATATAAATGAATAATATAATCTAATCTATAAGTTTCAGTCTTTCTGAGGAGCCTTACAACGAGAAAAAACAGCGATGAAGTAAGTTCTCAGTTTTATTCGTTATTTATTTAAAGTTAGTTCATCGTTTAAAACTTAATATTCAATAGTACTTCTAACGTTTTGCAATAATAAAACTGTTTTCAGTTGGGTCTTTATAAGGCTTCATTCGAATATTCAGTAATATGTGAAAAATATTAAATCAGTAAAGACAATTCATGAGTCCATAATACAAAAAGTATATAACTTTTGGTATGTATAGAGTAGACTGTAGTCATTCGAGCCTATAAGCGTAGTCTTTAGATGTCGAGGAAGTTTGTAATCCATCTATTTCTTACTTAGTTTGAGAATTACTTTTACCCTTTTGCTTATTTGTTCCTCTTTACTCCTTTTACATATCTTCTTCTTTACTATTAATGTAATATTTAACTAATCATTCACACATTGCTTATTACTCAACATTTTTAATGATCATTGTTTCATTGTTAAGTTTATTTTTCAAGGTTTTAAAAAGGATTAGTTGAAGTTAGACATTAACACTGTTGGATGCCGGCTCAGTGGTCTAATGGTTAAGTGCTTGCGCGCGAAACCAGTAGGTCCTGTGTTCGAATCCCGTGGGGTGCGGGATCGTGGATGCGCACTGTCGAGGAGTCCCGCGCTAGGACGAAACGGCTGTCCAGTGCTTCCATGATTTCCATGGTGGTCTAGTTTCAATTGACTCATGATTTGAACCAGTGAAATTTCTAAAAATCTCCACAAAACCCATTCTGATAAGGATTATAATGTTGAATTATTTATTCAAGTTATTGTCATACATACGTTAAGTCTATTATATAAACCATAACATTCCATAGTGCAAACGACTCTCTTCTTATGCTAATAATGTTGTTTTTCCTTGTTAACTTACCTACAGCGTGACATAATTAGTTAAATAATTAATTTTATGCTCACTCATATAATTACATATTCATTTAATTATTAATCCACTTGATATAATTGTCACTACCCAACTGAACTTCTCTATTCATTTACTTATTATCATCAGTGTTAATCTTATTCTCTCTAATTTAACGGTCACAAAAACAGATTTGTTTATTGGATTTCCTATATATTTAAACAATGAATTATATTAATTTTAACAGTTGAATCTATGAGTCAATTGAAGTTAGACAACCATGGTAAACGTGTAAGCACTGAACGACCGTTTCGTCCTAATATGGGACTCTTCAGCAGTTAGAGGTGAGACCGGAGGCTCTAAGTTTAGGTCCCACAAATGGAGTCGTTATGCGCACTGTTTAGAAGTCCCATACTAGAATGAAACGACTGTCCAGTATTTTCAGGTTTTCCATGGTGATCTAGCTTCAATTGACTGATGAATTCAACTAATAAAATAACTAGAATCTACACAAAACACCTTTCTGATTGTAATTATTTTAAAGTTAGATTAATTATTCAAATTTGCCGAAAACTTTAAAGTATTTACATAAAGGTTTGAATAATTTTTTTCTGGCTAGCGTTTTTTTAGCGAGTTAGTTTTCTACGGGACGAGGTAGCTAACCTCACACCCAACCCTCCTCTTTTATCCGGGCTTGGGACCGGCAGAAGCGCCGAAGAAAATCCAGGCGGAGTTTTAAATTATTTAACTGAGTATTTATTTTTTTAGGTCTGACAAATTTCTAAGATGAACATTCTTAGTGCATAAATTATTTTTGTATATGGTTTCATAATTGAGATGGGTGGAACATTTAAAACAATTTTACGATAATTTATTATATACAGACATCTAATTTCATTGTGGTTTAATTAATTATTTGGGCAAGATTATAATTTATGGACGAACCAATCATGTATAAAATAATAGGTCTCAGATTTTCGAGCGAAATTCACTCATTTATTTGAATAAATAGAGTTTTGACATTATAGCTGATGTTAGTTCGTAATGAAATACCCCCTGAATCTAATTCCTAGCCTTAATCATCAACTGTAAACCACAGTTCTTATTCCTCACACAGGTTTATAACCCTCATTTAGTCCTGGTTATTAGGTGGATACTCTCAAGGTCAGTCTATTGTCGCCTAAAGGTCATCCATAAGTTATAGTCTGCTTGATATTTGTTATACAGTATTTTTATACTACTTTGAATTTAAGCTTTCATTTTGCTCACCTATTACTCAATTTTGTACTACATGTGATTTAGTTATGCACAAATTTTGGTTGTTTATTTAGGGTACGTCATGAACGTACTGCTGAACAGATACTACAAATCTGAACATAATTCTAATTTGATAAGTTCGACCGGAGAAATAATATATTATGACATTTCAGTGATAATAGTCCTACACAAGAAAGAATAATGGATTCTAATGAAAAATCATAACTAGTGGAGCTTAACAATGTTAGGTGTAATATAGTTACCCTAATAGCATTGAAAAATGGTTAAGCGACATAATGATCGATTGAAGTCAACGATGTAAACTAGTGGATCTTGGATCAGGAGTCTGAAGATAGATAATCCCCCTTAGAAACTTGAAGGTAATTGATTTGATCAGTGGTGGAGTCATGAACAAGCACTAATGATGATTCTCATACTAGAATGAAACTGATATAACGGGATGAAAAGACAAGATTGCATTTTTAACTTATTGTGATTCTTGCTCAGTATTACTTCCGTTTTTTAATTCAATATGGTGATTATTCAGCGTATTACCTGTTTTGTTTTCCAGTGTGATAATTTATTCGATAAAACATCAATTTATGTGAGTCTGTTGTTATCTCAGGAGCCTCATTCTTACAATTGAAGATTATATGCAAGTTAAAACAACTGTCAACCAACATCAAAGTCACAATCTTCAATACAAACGTCAAGACAATTCTACCGTACTTAGATGAAACTTTGAGAACTACCACAACCATCATCAAAGTGGTGCAAGTATTTATGAATAGTTATCTACCCGAGATACTGAATGTCCGTTGTCGGGATACCATGAGCGATAGCCTACTTTAGGAGAGAACAAACCGGATTCCAGCTAAAGAGGGAATTAGGTGAAGATGCTGGAAGTGTGTAGGATTTACATTACGGAAATCACCAAACTGTATCACGCAGCAAGCCCTAACTTGTAACCCTGAATCGAAACGGAAAAGAGGAAGACCAAAGAACACACTTCGTCGGTAATTGGAAACAGACATGAAAAGGATGAATAGCAACTGAAAACAACTAGAAAGGATTGTCCAGGACAGGAATGAGTGGAGAATGCTGCTGGGCAGCCAATGGTCCTCCACGAGGAGTAACATGCGTAAGTAATTAAGTAAGTAATCTAAGGAGATGATATTATTGCATGAAATTAACGTGAACTATGCTCAGCATGACAGACAACATATCTCTAGGTATTAAATATATGATTTTATTCTAATTAGCAGTCAACATGGATGAACAATCGGTATACATTGAGTGTTTTTCGATTAGGGTCATCGTCATGTTTTAGGTTTAATGAATCTTCACTTGCGCCAGTCGTAATGTTCTTATTTTGCCTGGTGATAATCGTAGTTTGGTTCCTCTTTCACTCAATGAGCAACACGGATACAACAATTATTCATGTGAATAGAATAGAATACAACTTCTTGATTTTCAATGATTATCTAACTAAAATCAGTTTATCATATAAACAGAGAAAGAATAAAATCGATCGATATCATTGTACATATTTTGTGCATAAATATTCTCATTAATAAACTTACCAATATTACTTTGTATTGATAATGTAACCAAATATACAATCAATATAGTCGTTTGAAATAAAATTGACATTGTTTACTGAATTTTGGTTTTCTGTTTTGTGCAATCGCCGTAACCGTTTAATTCCTGAACTATAAGAAAAAACCGGAAAACATAATTATTGTTATTCTCCTAGAATGGTTAACATTTTCCTATGTCTAATTTTTTCATGTATAATTTTGTGAACTCCACCTGGATTCCTTCTGGGGCTACTGTCGGTCTCAAGCCCGGATGAAAGAGGAGGGTTAGGTATGGGGTTAACGACCTCACCCCATGGAAAACTAACTCACTAAAAAAACGCCAACCAGAAAAAAATGATTCAAAATACTTAAACTGTGGGAGAAAACAAACCAAAGCCCAGCAGAGGAAGGAATCAGGAAGAAGCGCTGGAAGTGGATTGGACATACATTAGGGAAAGTACCTAACTGCGTCACAAGGTTAGTCCTCATATGAAATCTTCAAGGCCGGAGGAAAAAAGGAAGACCAAAGAACACACTACGCCGAAAAATAGAAACAAACGTGGGAAGAATGAACAACAGTTGGATATAACTAGAAAGTAAGGCCCAGGACAGGGTGTGTTGAAGAATGGTGGTAGGTGGCCTATGCTCCATTGAGAATATCAGTCGTAAGTAAAATTAAGTAAAAGTAATTTTGGAAAAGATCATTTTCAAAAGTGACCATTTATTATTTGTAATGTGAAATTGATTCAGTGACTCCTTAATGATAGGAATGTTTCACATAACGGAATGACTGAAACTTCAGTGTCTTTTATAGATCGATAAACCATTGAAAGTGATCGAAAATAATATGGAGACATTTCGTTTAGTGTAAAAATACATTTCAGAAGATGATAGTGTATTGTATTCAATGAAGACTGAGATAAGTATGAAAATATTCATCAAATGTGTTGGAACATTCGATTCAAAAGTTGGCATACATCTAGTAAAGCTCATTTTCTTGAGCTACACCTATACTTACTTTGTGCGGATGCAGTTTGCAGGACACACCACGAAGGCAAGGTTTTTCGCTGTGATTGGTCAGCAAGGCGTACTTGAAATCTTGGAAGGGAAGAATTATGACGCCCCATGATGAAGGCGGAGGTTTTTCGGAAGTCACGTGACCGATGCTGCTTCCAACAACCGGACTAACATTTAACATACGTACACGGAATGTTTGGACAATGCGTCAGACAGGGAGGACCAGTCAAATTGATACGAAAATGAGGCGATACAACGTGATGCTTCTCGGGATCAGTATGGGATTCTTACATCAGTGCACCTCCACGACCCCACACATGGGGTTCGAATCCAGGACTTTCGCTATCGTGCACGAACGCTTAACCTCTAGACCACTGAGTTAACTTGCATTCAGCGATGTTCATGTTTAACTTCGATCGATACATGATCTTGAGCGACCTTTCATCCGTCGTCTGAAGTGGATAATTGTTTCATACCTGATACGGATTAGACTTCAAAGGTCACATGTTCTACCAAAAGTTCAGGAAGTCTATCTTCAAGCTATTCACTAATGAGCAAATGATTAGTATTTTCGAAATCGATGATCCTAAGTTCGAGCCCTTTTTGCTGAAGGATTGTGGATGTGTACCGTTAAGGAGTCCTGTATTAGGACGTAACGACAGTCCAGTGCTTCAAAATACTTAATTAAGGTCTAACTTAGATTGATTATTGAATTCAACTTTAAGAATACATAGTCTAAAAAATGATTTCTATTTGTTTAAATATGTTATTGTATTGTGATGCGTGCTACTTATATTGATATAAGTAGTATATGACGCGAGTCAGGAATGCAATGTCTGGCAGATTAAAGATGGGGAAGACCAAGAAAGGAAGAGCGGAAATAGAAAGCAATTAGTATAAAGAAGGAAAAAATATGTGTTTTACACTCAAAGCTAAAAATATCATCAATGAGGATGATATATTGAAATTTCTTTTAAAAGAATATATCATTCTATTTAATGGTTCATTAATCAAGCATATATACATATATAATTCTAAATGAAAACTTATGTCGGTTTAAATTCACAGGAGTTAGTGTATTCTAGTTTATGTATATATATATATATACTACTTGTCAAAGTACTACTGATTAACTTATTTGTATCTATGATTAGTAAATCTATACATTTTACATTGTAAATAGTAAAATAACCAATCAAGCAGAAAAGATTAATTCATTAATTAAATTATTGAATAGAAGTTACCAAAAGAAAATAGTAGTTGAATTGAATGAGTTTAGGAGTAATTAGAATCCAATCATGTTTATAAATTACAATTAAGTTGATTAAGTAACAGAATTTAAAGGTATATGATTATGTACTGAATAATTAAAATCAGGTTTTGATTCAATGTTTATAAGGTATTCATTACCATCAATTGAGATTATGAGTCAGTTGAAACTAGACCACCATGGAAAACCTAGAAGCAATGGATGGCTGTTTTCTCTCAGTGTGGGGCTCCTCAGAAGTGCACATCCACGACCTTGTTTCGTGAGATTCGAACCTATGAAGAAACAGATATCCAATGTTTCCAGGTTTTCTATGGTGGTCTAGCTTCAATTGAATCATTACCATATTCCTTAACATCGAAGCTTTTTTTCAATTTCATATGTGATTGAGTTCAGAATCTATAGGATTTATTCAGAGTATATGGTTTGTTAAAGAGATTAAATGATTATCAGTTTTGTGTTAATAAATGTTAAGTTCTTACTGTTGTTTTCTTTAACTTGAATGCTACTACTGATTCGTCTTACTCGGAACGGAAAGAAGAATCAAGAATTCAGAGACTCAATAGGCTATACTGGTCCGTTGTCCCCAACTCAGCTACCTTGATCTAGAAGTCTGTGTCAGATGTAAAAAGTGTATTCTCCAGACAACCAGAAGATACCGGGACCCTCAAGCACATAAATCAAGCGTATTTATACAAAATATATATAATCGATATTGCCATTGGAAGATTTTAAATATTTAATCGATAATTCCGTCAATCGACTATGTGCATGGGTGGTAAGAAATGCCCAAGCATACATCTGCGTACAAACTCCACAAAGATGAAACTACAAAATATGAGTTTTGGGGATCTGACGTCCCCAACACTTACAAGTAACAATAACCGAGGATACTTTTTATTTCTTAATGTGGATTTTCTTATTACCTTTACTCTTTTCTAATTAATTGTTAGTACTTCAGGTTCCGTAATTCTTTGTGTTCTTCGAGATCATGTTTTGTTACTGTTTTTATACAGAATTATTCACTTGTAATACGTTTACTTGATTGTCAGGTTTTTCCGCACTTTTATCATCTTCCGGTGTTTCTTCGTAATAGCGAATTATTTATGAAGTACCACCAGGCGATTGCCATTTTATCGAATCTGCCATAAATATCCGTTCGTATTAAAATCAGGTTAACTATTCCGCGATTACAGTAGGCTCGTATTGAACCTCAGTCACAAGACATGGTGATTTAATTACAAATCGTTATTCTACAATTTTTTTGACTTTCTGATTACACATGTACATTAGCTGCCCACTAAGTAATAATCAGTAGCATAATTATCTGATTCGTTAGTTTGGATTAAACTTTATCGACTGAAGTGAAATTCAGTTACTAGTCTTAGTGACATGATATCAAGTAAACTAATTAAGGGAGTTTGAGATAGTCGACAAGAAACCCTACATGAACAATAATTATTCTTACTTGCCATCTGGAACTCTAAGAAAACTGATATTCTATAAGAGATTCGAAACTGTGTGAATCAATCACACTGTTAATAGAATTTGATCAACATGGATTAAACAAACATGATATTGTCTATTGCTACTTAGACAGTCAGTGTAAATATCACAGTCTGCGTTACTGTCTATCATGAATCGGATTGTTTAATGGTAATGTATCAGACAGTGAAGTTTATTAACGACGGTGTGAAGTCAAAAAACACACACCATTAGTTGCCTCAAAAGTATGTTTACACATTCCTAACTTATTTTAATAACAACGTCACTCAAGGGTATGGTTTCTAACTGATTACCTCTTATCACTTAATTGTTTTATTCTCCATTGTATTGTTTAATTTAATAATTATCAAAAGTATAGTTAAGTAAACCTGAAAAATTATTTGAAATTCATTCATTACAGTTCATATTTCACAGATTGAAATCATGAGTCAATTGAAGCTAGACCACTATGAAAAACCTGGAAGCACTGGACGGCCGTTTCGTCCTAGTATGGGACTCCTCAGTAGTGCGCATCCACGATCCCACACCCCGCGAGATTCAAACCCAGGACATATCAATCTCGGGCCAAGCACTTAATCTCCATAAACCCCTTCTGATAATATTCATGTTTAATGTATAATTTGTTTGAATATATGTTTATATATGCTATAAAATATTAGTATCTATCATATTCATTTGTATAGGAAATGATCTAGTTGTTTAATTTATAAATGATGCGATAACAGGAAGAAGAATGTCTGATTCTCTTGCTTAGAGTCTAATCAACCATGAGAAAAAAAAAGAAATATAGAATAAAGAAAAACTTTAACCATTCAGATACTATTGATTATTCTTTATAAAAAACAAACAATATTTTCATATATTTCGCTCCTTTTAAAAGGAATATAAACAAACAATCAACAAATATCACAAGTTGAAATCATGAGTCAATTGAAGCTAGACCACCATTGAAAACCTGGAAGCACTGGACGGCCGTTTCGTCCTGGTATGGAACTCCTCAGCAGTGCAAATCCACGATCCCGCACCTCGCGAAACTCGAACCCAGGACCTACTGGTTTCGCGCGCGAGCACTTAACCTTTTGACCACTGAGGGGGCATCCAATGGTGTTAATGTCTAACTTCAACCAATCCACGAAGTTGCGCCACCGTAAACCATTGTCTTCAGTGAGTTCCTATCTCACAACAGACCTGGCTGAACTCCACTGGTAACGATTTCTCACTAGAACTCCAGAAGTGTCTCCTGAAGTCAGTCACTAGTGAGCAGGTGATTATTATTATCAGAATGTGTTTTGTGGAGTTTTAATAATCATAATCACATCAGCCCTACAAAGGTTATGAGATC